TGTTTTGAGTTCCTTACAAATTTCCTCTTGTGATTGAGTTCAAGTTTCAAAGCATTGTGGTCTGAAAATATGCAGGGAATAATCCCAATCTTTGGTATCAGTTAAGACCTGATATGTGACCTAGTATGTGATCTATTCTGGAGAATGTTCCATGTGCACTCAAGAAGAATGAGTATTCTGTTGCTTTAGGATGGAATATTCTGTATATATCTGGGAGTCCATCTGTCATTCAAAGCCCTTGTTTCCTTGTTGACCTTCTGCCTATATGATCTGTCCATTACTCTGAGTGGGGGTGTTGAAGTCTCCTACTATTATTGTATTATCAATGTGTTTCTTAACTTTGGTTATTAATTGGTTGATATAATTTGCTGCTCCCAAGTTAGGAGCATAAATATTTATAATTGTTAGATCTTCTTGTTGGCTAGACCCTTTAAGTATGATATAGTGTCCCTCTTCATCCCTCACTACAGTCTCTGGTTTAACATCTAATTATTTGATAAGAGGATTGTTACCCCAGCTTTCTTTCCATGTCCATTAGCATGATAAATGGTTCTCCACCCCTCACATTGAATCTGGAGGTGTCTTTGGGTTTAAATGAATCTCTTGTACACAGCATATTGATGGGTCTTGCTTTTTTATCCAATCTGATACCCTGGGTTTTTTGACTGGAGCATTTAGCCCATTTACATTAACTATTGAAGGATATGAATTTAGTGCCATTGTTATTACCTGTAAAGTCCCTGTTTCTGTAGACTGTTTCTGGTCTGTGTTACTCTTGGGCTCTCTCTTTGCTTACAGTACCCCCCTTAATATTTCTTGCAGTGCTGGTTTAGTGGTTATATATACTCTTTCAGTTTCTGCCTGTCCTGGAAGCTCTTTATCTCTCCTTCCGTTCTGAATGACAGCCTTGCTGGATGAAGTATTCTTGGCTGCATGTTCTTCTCATTTAGTACCCTGAATGTATCTTGCCAGCCTTTCTGGCCTGCCGGCTCTCTGTGGACAGGTCTGCTGCCAGTCTAACATTCCTACCCCTGTAGATTAAGAACCTCTTGTCTCAAGCTGTTTTCAGGATCTTCTCTTTATCTCTGAAATTTGCAAGCTTCATTATTATACATCGGGGTGTTGATCTGTTTTTATTCATCTTGGGAGGGGTCCTCTCTGCCGCTTGATGTGAATGCCTATTTCCTCCCCCAGATTAGGGAGGTTCTCAGCTATGATTTGCTCAAATATAACTTCTGCCCCTCTCTCTGTTCTCCACTAGGGACCCCAGTAACTCTAATACTGTTTCCTTTTGTGGCATCGCTGATTTCTCGAAGCCTCCCCTCATGGTCCATTAGTGGTTTTTCTCTCTTTTCCTCAGCTTCCTTCCTTTCCATCAACTTATCTTCTATGTCATTTATTCTCTCTTCTGCCTCACTTACCCTAGCTGTTAGAGTATCCAATTTAGACTGCATCTCAGAGCATTTTTAATTTCGGCCTGATTAGACCCTGTTTCTGCCCTAAGAGATTCTCTAGTGTCTTTTAGCTTTTTTCAAGCCCAGCTAGTAACTTTATAATTGCTATCCTGAATTCCAGCTCTGACATTTTACTTATATCCATATTGATTAGATCTGTGGCAGAGTATTACCTCTGGTTCTTTCTTTTGTTGTGAATTCCTCCTTCTAGTCATTTTGCCCAGAGAAGAATGGATGAATGAGTGAACAAAATCAAATATATCAACCACAACCCAACAAAATAACATACTAGACAAATCTGAAGAGGTCAGAAACCAGAAAAGAAAAAGAAAAAATATGGGAAAGAAAACAAAAGGGCGGGGGGAGAATATAATCTCACAGGGTGGACAAAACAGGGTGATCCACTTGGTCCTCAGTGTATTTTGGTCCGTGTGTTAGAAGACACTAAATCCCCAAATTGTAAAGAATGCTAAACTTACATATATACAAAAATAAAATTGATTCGAGTGAAAGGAAGCAAGAATATATCTATAAAATGTAAATGTAAAAATTGAAGGTTAAAAAAAAAAGGACTTAAAAACAAAGAGTTAATAAAATAAGAAACTAGTTGAAAAGGGAAAAAAGAAAAAAGAGAAATGGAAAATTTTAAACTGAAACATAAATCATGAGAAAAAAACCTTGAATTCTATATACTGTTTTCCCCTAGCGCTAGAGTTTTACAGTTGCTCTGTGTGGCTTTTGTTCCCTGGGCCTCTTTAGAGGATCAAAAGAAAAATGGCCGCGCCTGGATCTCCAGTCCCAGAGCCAAAAGATCAAGGTCCTCTCTCTTCCGTAAACCCTCAGGGATAAACGGTCTTCACTTTTGTGTGTGCCGAACTCTGCAGACTCCTGTGGTAAGCTCCCACACAGATCATCCTGGGGGAAGGCAGAGGGTCACACATTTCTGCACTTTGCAGGGCCCCACACTAAGAACTGTTGCCTGGTCCTGCGTACACCTGCTTCACCCGCCGCTACTGTCCTGTCTTCTGCAGGGCTCCCACACTGAGAGCTGTCCCCGGTGGTGCACACATCTGCTCCACCCCTCCCAGAGGAAGGCTGAGGGTCCCCATGTTTTTGTCCTTTGCAGGGTCCCCACTTGGAGAGCGGTCACCCAATCGGGCAGCAGCACGGGCTTGCTGTTTTTGGCGAATTGAGCTGAGAGCCCCCTCCTGAGCTCTCTGACTTTAACCAGTTTCCCCACTCCAATGCTTGGGAACTCTGACTCAGGCACCCCCGTTCCTTCTGTGACTCCAGGGATCCTGGGACCACACTGCCCCACCTAGGATTCTGCTCTGCTTCACCAAGTGAGCACCTTTGAGGCAGGGATGTCTCAAAGGGAAGAATAAATATTGTTAAAAAGTCTATGGTATCCACAGCAATCTAGACATTCAGTGCAATTCCTACCAAAATACCATCGAAAATACATTAAGAGGATTATTCACCATGACCAAGTGGGATTTATTCCTGGGAGGCAAGGGTGGTTCAACATTTGCAATCAATGTGATACATCACATTAGTAAAAGAAAGGACAAGAACCATATGATCCTCTCAATGGATGCAGAAAAAGCATTTGACAAAATACAGCATCTTTTTTTGATTAACTCTCCACAGTGTATGGATAGAGGCAACATTCCTAAATATCATAAAAGCCATATATGAAAAGCCCACAGTGAATATCATTCTCAATGGGGAAAAACAGAGCTTTTTCCCTAAGGTAAGGAATACAACAAGGATGCCCACTCTCACCACCGTTGTTCAACATAGTGCTAGAAGTTCTAGCCTCAGCAATCAGACAACAAAAAGAAATAAAAGGCATTCAAATTGGCAAAGAAGTCAAACTCTCTTTGCAGATGACTCTTTGCAGATGACATAATACTCTATGTAGAAAACCCAAAAGACTCCACCCCAAAATTGCTGTAATTCTTAAAGCAGTTCAGCAATGTGGTAGGATACAACATCAATGCAGAGAAATCAGTTGCATTTCTATACACTAACAATGGGACAGAAGAAAGAGAAATTAAGGAATCGATCCCGTTTACAATTGCACCAAAAACCATAAGATACCTAGGAATAACCCTAACCAAAGAGGTAAAGGATCTGTATTCTTAAAAACCACAGAACACTTATGAAAGAAATTGAGAAAGACATAAAGAGATGGAAAAACATTCCACGTTCATGGATTGGAAGAATAAACATTGTTAAAATTTCTATGCTACCCAGAACAGTCTACACATTCAATGCAATCCCTATCAAAATACCATCGACATTTTTCACAAACCTGGAAAAAATAATCCTAAAATTTGTATGGAACCAGAAAAGACCCCCAAACAAAAGCAAAAATGAACTATTAGGACTTCATCAAGATAAAAAGCTTCTGCACGGCAAGGGAAACAGTCAAAACTAAAAGGCAACCTATGGAATGGGAGAAGGTATCTGCAGATGACATATCAGATAAAGGGCTGGTATCCAAGATCTATAAATAACTTATCAAACTCAACACCCATAAAACAAATAATCCAGTCAAGAAATGGGCAGAAGTCATAAACAGACACTTCTCCAAAGAAGACATAAAAATTGCCAACAGACACATGAAAAAAAGCCCCACATCACTCGTCATCAGGGAAATACATATCAAAACCACAATGAGATACCACCTCATACCCATCAGAAGGACTAAAATTAACAAGACAGGGAACAACAAATGTTGGTGAGGATTCATAGAAAGGGGAACCCTCTTACAGTTGGTGGGAATGCAAGCTGGTACAGCCATTCTGGAAAACAGTGTGGAGGTTCCTCAAGACGTTAAAAATGGAGCTACCCTACGACCCAGCAATTGCACTAATGGGTATTACCCCAAAGATACAGATGTAGTGAAATGAAGGGACACCTGCACTCCAATGTTCATAGCAGCAATGTCCACAGTGGAAGGAGCCAAGATGTCCTTCAACAGATGAATGAAGAAAGAAGACATGGTTCATATATACAATGGAATATTGCTCAGCCATCAGATAAATGAATACCTACCATTTATATTGACATGGATGGAACTGGAGGGTATTATGCTAAGTCAGTCAGAGAAACAGTTATCTTATGGTTTCACTCATATGTGGAATATAAGAAATAATGCAGAGGATCATAGGGGAAGGGAGGGAAAACTGGGAAGAAATCAGAGAGGGAGAAAAACCATGAGACTCCTGGCTCTGGGAAACAAACTAAGGGTTGTGGAAAAGGAGCTGGGTTGGGGGATGATGGGCATTAAGGAGGGCAAGTGATGTCATGAGCACTAGGTGTTATATACACCTAATGAATCATTGAACACCACCAAAAACTAATGATGTACCTTATGTTGGCTAACTGAATTTAAATAAAAAGGAAAAAAATAGAAAATAAATTTTTAAAACTTCATTTCAATACATGAAAATTTCTGATATTTTTGTCATTTATTTCTAAAATAATTTTACTGTGGTCAGAGAACATACTTTGAATAATATTAACATTTACTGAGACATGATTTACTTCCCAGCATATATTTTTTTTCTTTTAAAATGTTCTGTGTGTACTTGCAAAGGAAATACCTTCTGTAGTTGCAGATGTGATGTCCATACTGGGAAGGAAACTGTGTACCTTCTTAAGAGTCTCAAGTACTCTTGTTTATTTCTCTTGGTCAGTGACCCACCTGAACTAGTTTCCCCTCTAGCACTTGGATGAAATTCAATAGCATGTTGGTTTACAAAAATTAAATGATAGTCATCCTCCAACTTCAGAAAACATATGAAAGCCAGAGAATCTTATCTTCTGTCGGCACAGGGCAGAATGCAAAGGAGTCTGCACGTACAGCCTCAGCAGGTCTTATGTGAAAATCAGGCCCAGATGCAGGATGAGTAATACTGTAATATATATGGGTTGGGATATTTTGGTGGACAATCTGAGAATCGTGACATACACACCCATTTCCCTGAATCCTTCCTGGTGTCAGAAACAGCCCCTTCCATGTTAGCCTCACCTGAGGTGGATGCCTTGAATGATGATGTTTGGCCTCCTCAGGACCTACCCCCTACTCCTCATTGCCTCTAGGTTGATATCAAGAGTCAGGTATCAGCAGAGCCTGGAGAAAGAAATACAAACCCTGCTTTGACGAAAAAGTGCCTACATAACAAAGGAATTACAGGACCTAATAATAGAGCCTGGGGAGTGTGCGTAAAAGTGGATCTTGGTGTTTGATGAGGGAAGGCAGAATATGAGACCCGAGACATCTTCATTTACATGGGGGAGTCACCTTTGATTTTTACTTGAGTAAAAATATCCAAGGCCATCCCAGCAGACTAAGGACGGGCAGAATCAGAATGGCAATCAAGATGGTTTGACCTGCAGGGATCTGAGGCAGTGGCTGTTGCACCACAATTCCCTAGGATGCTAGTTTATTTATATAAAGAGGGAAAAAAAATGAATGAATGAACTAGTTGCCTTCCACCTCGATGGAACATTGAGACCCCACACCAGGTTCCCAGCTCTAAATGTAGACCTAGAGCACTCAGTGCAAGGAAGGTCAGTTCCCCTTCAGTAACATTCCTGTAACTCCATCGCAAATGAACACAGTAAATATTCCTTCAATCATTTCTCAAAGGAACCTGTGGCCATTTGTAAGGGTAAACGTGCACTGGGAAGGTCAAGGGCATGTCAAGATGTTTCTTCTCAGGTGAAGGACAAGCTGTGGCACTTCAAATATATCTCCACTTAAACAAAAACAATGAAAATAACATTTTGTGGGTCTCTCTGGAATTTGAATTTGGAGGCAACAACTACCAAAGTTGGGAATACTCCTCTGACTCATTTATTGGGCAACCCCAGAGGCTGCCAAATTCTCAGGGGCCCAGAGCCAAAGTAGGCTCTCCAGCAGATCCTAGCTGTGGCACAAGATGCTGTCTTTTTTTTTTTAAGATTTTATTTATTTATTTGACAGAGACAGCGAGAGAGGGAACACAGCAGGGGGAGTGGGAGAGGGAGAAGCAGGCTTCCTACTGAGCAGAGAGCCCGACGTGGGGCTCGATCCTAGGACCCTGGGATCATGACCTGAGCCGAAGGCAGACGCTTAACGACTGAGCCACCCAGGTGCCCCACCCCCTTCTTGATCCTAGAACTCAGCAGGTCAGAAGGTGCTAGCAAGATCTGTGATTGGTTAGGATGTCTGGAATCTGGAAAGCTCCAACACCGGAGAGAGAACACAGGGGTAGGATTCTAGAGTAAATCGGTGCCTTCTAGGGATGAGAACCAGTCATGTGAAGAGCAGCTCCTGTGCCCTGGTAGCAAGAGATCACCCAACAGCAGGACACCAAGTGAGAACTGATCAGTTTCCCATCATAAAATAGATGTGATATGATCCACCCATCACAGAATTCAGTGTGCACAGCAGTGAGCTATTGTGCAATGGTAATAGCCTGTTTGGGACTGGACCTAAGCGTGGCCACGAGGCCGAAGTGAATCACAGAACATGTGACCCAGACTCCTACCTGTGCTGCCTCTCCCCTCGACAGCACCCATGCTTCATGGGGGGTTCCTACGACTAACTGGCACAAGAAAAGGACTCAGAGTGAATCACAAGCAGCCTGGCTTATCATGTTGGCGGAAATGACCTGCTGCTGCATGCTGCCTCCTTATAGCACCGCTTGGGATGTCCTTGAAAGACATTGTGAAAGGAAGTCCTTCAAATATACCAAGCTGAGAGTGGCTCAGTCAGTCATTCGTAAGAAAGAAAATGACTGAAGGTACAGAGATACATGGACTTTTGACAGTGGCATTTAGGTTAGGGGCCTAGAAGGGTCAAACTGGAAGTCCAAGGAAGGAGGAGGGCAAACAGCATGAGATGTTTGTGTCTTACCTGAAAGCGCACCAGAAACCACATACTACAGGGAAGTCTCTCAATAATACGGTAACAAGATGACCATCCTCTGGCTGCCAGGCAAACTCTTCTCACCATCTGATCCTTGTGCAAAGGCCCATGAACAAGGTCAGGGAGAACAGCTAAGCACAGGCCCAATGGCAAGGACTTCCTATATCAAGACGCACCTTACCACCATAGCTGAAGGCCTGTCTAATGGACAGCAGACTGATGCTATCAACTTGGCACCGTTAATCCTGGGTCGGTATTTTGTCCTTATGACACCTGCCTATGGTTCTGCCAACACCATCACCCAAAGACTTAAGAGAATGCCTTACCTGTGATATCCCACAGTACTGCCTCAGAACGAAGGACCCATTTCACACCAAAGGAGGTGTGACCATGAGCCCATGACTATGGAATGCACTGGTCTTGTCCCATACCCATCATCCAGGACTGACTGGCCTGATATGATGGTGACACAGACTACTGACAGTTCCACTAAGGTGCTGGCCAGGGGTCAACACTTAATATGGCCTGGATACCACCTTCCACCCAGGATGTGAACCAATGACCAATGGTGAATAGTGCCACTACTGCTAGAATACAGGAGTCTGAGAACCAACAAGTGTGGGAGTGGCCCCATCTATTACGACAGCAACCCTGCATATTTTGTTTCCCATTCATGCAACCTTGGACTCTCAGGGATTATAGATAGATCCTAGCTCCTGGAGATAGGAGTGGAGACAATTCTTTCAGGGTCACAGCAAGCATTCCTTTTAAGGGGAAGCTATGACTACCACCTGACTCTTTTTTGTTCTTGGCCAGTAGCCCAACAGGCAAAGAAAGGATTGGCTCTGATGGGACTGTAACTGACAAACATCAGGGACTAAGGTTGCTAGTAGATAATCGAGTAGAGTGGAGTGTGTCTACAACCTAGGTAAGTAACTGGGTATCGCTTAGCAGTAACTTAGCAGCAGTGACTTTCAATGAGCAAGGGAATCCACCACAACCATCACCTTGGGGATGAAGGTCTGGGTCACCCCACCAAATAAGCAGCCCAGATAGCCCAAAATGCTGCTTAAAGGGAATCCAGCAGAGGGGCTCTTGCTCATTTCACTAGTGCTCTTGCCACAGGCATCCAGAACAGGTCATCATCAACTTTGGGACTCTGGTCACACTTCCAGAGTAAGGATGCCTTTATTCTCAGCAGGAGGAGGCTCGGAGATGGTAAGCCCAACAATGTAGTCTGAGAGATGTACACAATGGGAGGGAGTGGTGCAAAAGGGTGGACTGAGCTGGGGCGCAAAACTTACACATCTCCAACTCCCTCAACCAGTTCCGTCTCTCCTGCGGTTGGCACCCATCTGCGCCAGGCTGCCCTGCACTTAGAGCTGACTGAGGCACACACTGCAGGGCATCCTGAGCTGGCTGTCAGCCACTAGGTGCTGGGTGGTACTCACCAGAGGTGCACAAGACTGAGTCCCACACTGAGCTAGGACCTCAAAGAGCTTCACCCTCAGAGCAAAGGAGATTAGCATCTAAACCTGCCCCTCCTGCCAGGCGCGGGGAATGAGAAGGCAGCCTGCTGTGGACCAGAACAGGGGAATGGGGGGGAGAGGGGGCCTGGTAGGGGGCTGAGACAGCTACCCTGAACCTGCGCTACTGGAACACGTACCTTGGATTGGCCAGACATGCAAGTGCGGACAGGACTGAGGCCGTCTCCATCACTGGGTCCTGTGTCCATGTGTCTGCACACACTCAGCTTCATCCAGCTTCCTACTTTTTTTTTGCCAGCCTAATAGTACAAAGTGATAGGTCATTATTTTATTCGGCTGTGATTACTAATGATTTTGAGCATTTTCTCCTGTACTTTAGGGTTTGGTTTCTTCTGTAAATTACATTTCCTCTTAGTTCAATTTAGGGGTTGCTGTCAATGGCTGTCTTAATTTTGGTTATGGTGTCACTTGTACAAAAGATTTAAATTTTGATATAGACTACTTCGCTATGGGTTTTGCTTTTCTATGATCCCTTTTCTAATTTTTCCCCTATAATTAAAAATGCTGTTTAGATCCTTTACACATAAAAAAAAAACTTATTTTTGTGCACGGTATGAGGAAGGAATCTGATTTTATTCCATTTGGATAGCCAGTCCTTCCAAGATCACATTCTGACTTGAAATGTCACTTATATTGTATACCCAATTTCCAAACATACCTGGGTCTGTTTCTTGATTCTCTGTTGTCTATTCACACACTGATGCCACTTGCTTCAATGACAAAGTTTAATTTTGTCTTCATAATTCAAAGGGCAGGTCTACCCCTTCCTTTGCCCTTTTGTTCCTGCAAGACTGTCTTGGCTACTCTTGTCCTCTTATAGCTCCATATACATCCAATAATCATCTTTTTACATTGGTTTTAAAATGGTAGGAATTTTATTGGTATTGCTTTCACTATATGGTCTCTTTGAAGCAGTAATTCTTCTATCCATGAACATGGGTTATCTCTATTCTTTATTCCTTTAGAAAAGCTGTGTTTTTTCTTCATAAAGTTTTTCTTCTTTTTAGATCCCAAGATATTATAGTTTCTGGTGTTACTGTGAATGGGATAATTTTCCTATCATATTTTCTAATTTTTGTTACACTAATTTCAACATGTAGATAACCTATTCACCAATCCTGATTTGCTAATTTTAATGATTTTCTTAAGTTTCTAAAGGAGATAGTACTATTTAGAAATTATAGCACACATACCCATTTCTAATCATTTTTTTTAGAATTTAAAAAAGTATTACATTAGTACATCCAGGGCAATACTAATCATGGTGGTGATCAATGTCGTGCTTACCTCGTTTCTAACATCAGTAGAAATGTTTGTGATTACCTTTCATTAAGCATGTTTGCAGTCTTTCATATTCCTTTTACCCAGTTAAGAAAATTATCTTTTATTATTTTGATATTTCATCATTTCTGCTTAGATTTTATTTAACTCATCATTTAAAAGTGAATTTTAATGGTGTGTGTTTGTGTGTTGGCATGACTGTCTTTTCAAAAAGGAATTTTATAGTTAGCAATTAGTATTTTGGAATTTGTGAAGACTTCACTTGTGGCCAAGTACTAGGGAAAATTCTTCAATGTTTTCTATTTCTACTTAATACAGAGTATCTTGGCCTGCACCTAGAGTAAGAGGCTCAGAGGAAGGATGAGATCTGCCTACTGGCAGGACTCAGAGGTGCCACTGAGGCCTTTGTGCTCCCCCAGCAGTAGCAGTCCTGGCCGTATGGAGAAAGAAGCCTCAGAACTTGGATTTAGAGGACGTGAGTCATCTGTGTTTCCACCAGGTCGTGCTATCACACCTCACAGACCTTGCTTTCCCATGAGGAGCCTGTCTGCCAGACTCCACACACACACACACTTTCCACAAGAGTTTCCTGTGCTCCCATTAGGACTCCCTCCTAAGCTTCCCACATCACACCCAAAGCAGGGGTCCACAGCGCTGTCCTTGGGCAGGGCCACCACAGCCAGACATGACACCACCCTAATGCTGCAGCCAGCACATGCCAGGCTCTGGCTGGCTGCCTTCCCTAAGAACTGACCATATTGCTTTCCCAGTCACCACATGTCCATGCCTCTCAGGTGGCCCATACACTTACCATTCCCTTATCTGACCTCCCCTTTTGCCAACACTCCCTCTTTCCATGTGTCTCCACCAAAAACTCCTATATCTCAACTTACCTGAACTTTCCCTTCATCTTCTGAAACAGCTGTTTCCTTTCTTGCCGTGTCACGTGTGTTTATTTTAGCTAATTTCTTGTCTCCTCTCCCTTTCCCCCATGGCTGTATGCAGGATGCACTAGGACCACTGAGTACCAGATAGGGCTATAATAGGATTAACAGAGAGTTCTGACTTCAAGGTAACAAAGACCTTGGGTTTCCAAATATCTTACGTTATGTAAGATATTCACACCAGGGGAGGCTGGGCAAAAGGTATATGGAATCCACGGCACTGCCTTTGCCACTTTTCTGTAAACCTAAAATTATCCCAAAATAAACCTTATCTTAGATTTTTAAAGGGGGTGAGGGTAGGCTATAGATTTTTTCCTTTTGAGGAAATGGCTATATCTGGGTTTGTCTATATGGGGCACAGGTGCTATGTTGGGTATAAAGTGCCAGGAAGAAGGGGCTGTGGTACTGGACAGCTGAAGCCACAGGTTGTAGTAGAGAGTTTTTCATCCTCATTGTCTGTTTCTCAAGAATGCTTCCTATTTTTGAAGAATTTTTCACAGTGCAAGTCGACTGGGAGCCGCTCAACTGAAGCTGAAGGGGTCGCTCTCCCGCATCCTGGCCCAGGTGGTGTGGGCATGTGGTGAAGCCAGAAGGTCGCGCACACATCCTGGTGTTCTGAGCGTCAGGGCAGCTGGGACGTTTTCAGACAGCGGCAGCACCATGGGAGCGCTCGGGGAGAATGACGGCAGGCCAGACCTTGCTGGAACGGGCCCTGGCTGCTGCCCGCTGCCCTGCTTCCTGTAGTTCCACGTCTGTTCCTCCAGCCTTCCCACTGACCTGGTGCACTGCTCTATTTCCTTCCAGTAAATTCCTTTCTTGCTTTCTATCCTGTTGCTTACAGTTGAGAACGCTAATGATACGCCCACCAAAGCAGCCGGGGCCTCCCTGTGGACCAACGCCGGGGATGCCACTTGCACAGAGTACAAAATGGTGTCCCTAGAGTTCTGCAGTGTGGCACCACACAACTATTTATTAATGTGTGTCTAAAGCATGTAACAGAATAGGACATTTCCTTACTTCACTACATATCTGAACAACAAAACAATCAGGATACAAGTCTAGTACCTTCAACATGGGCCTTCTTACATCCACTCCTCTCTCCCACTTACTATCTGAATAAGCTTGGGCAGGTGGCATGGCAGCCAGACAACAGGCCAATAATGGGTCTCTGTTACTGGTCATGCTCCTTGTCTGAAAAATAGAGACATCATATGTCCTTCATTGACTTGTTGTGAGGATTTAAAAAGAAAGTCACAGGGCGCCTGGGTGGCTCAGTCATTAGGCATCTGCCTTCGGCTCAGGTCATGATCCCAGGGTCCTGGGATTGAGTCCCGCATCGGGCTCTCTGCTCTGCAGGAAGCCTGCTTCTCCCTCTCCCACTCCCCCTGCTTGTGTTCCTCTCTCGCTGTGTCTCTCTCTGTCAAATAAGTTAATAAAATCTTAAAAAAAAAAAAAAAAAGTCACATAGCACAGTGCCTGGCCCGTAAGAGGCATTTGAGAATTGCTCATTCCTTTTCCAGTGTTGATAAAAAAAAAAAAAAATCATTTAGTTTGTATGTAGACAAGCTTTTCACCAAAATGAGATTATCTTCAATTGACACAATCATCTGAGCCATGCTGCATGTTGAAGCAATATGACCTCAGAATACTCGTCCCGATGCTTCTGGCTTCCACACCTACAATGCTCATACTGTCACTTTCCACATGGGTGAATCCACTGCAAAAGGAAGGGACAGGCTGCATGTTAAACTTGAGGAAGACACATTTAAGTAGCTAAGCCTTTACATGAAGATGGAACACAACCTCTGGACCTTCTCCACCCTAGTGCACCCCATCCGTGTGGAGACCTGCATTCATTCCTACCAGTTAGCAAATATGCTCACATTCTGGAGTGGGAGTATCAGCTTTGGGCCCTCCTGATGGTAGCTGTCTGAATTATGATTTCAGCAAGTCTAGAAATTCCCAGTAGAGAACAGGCACCTAATCCAATCTCAACAGGGTAGAGTCATTTCCCCAGAACCGAGAATCAGGCCATCAATTCCCAGCCAGTCTCAGTGAAAGATACCGACAGGAGCCGTCATTCTCCATGATGCTGTCTTTGCCTAGAAAGACAATGCTGCTCTGAGGTATGACAGAGAGTGAGCAGGTGGGGACGGAACCATACCAGCCAAACCACAAAAGGGACCTGAGTTTCCTGTAGAAGCTGGTTTTGGCCATAGATTGCTTCTAAAATATTGCCACTTTGGCTTTCATGAACTACCTTTTAGCTTAGAAGAAACTCCACACTAAAAACAGAACAAGACAAAATAAAGCTGCTAAGAACGTTCATGTACAAGTCCTTGTTTGGATGTAACATTTCTCTTGGGTAGATACCTGGGGGTATATGGCTAGGTTTCTGGTAAAGTTATATTTCACACACCCATTTTCCCTGTTTTCTTTGGAGAATTATTTACGCATTATGTATTCACAGATGATAACATTTTAGGAAACTGAAAAGCTCTCAGAAAGTACTGGTTATGTCTTGAGGCATTCAAAAAGGTGCTGGAAAAAACTTCCGGGGAACAGCATGGAGCAAGAGTGCCGGGTTTATTGTTGCCAAATGAAGCTCCCAGAAGAAATTACCACTCAACTAAGGATTTCTGAAGGAATCTCTTCTGAATTAGGAAAGGGGCATAATTGAAAATCATGATCCCTTCTGGGGTCCTGATTAAAGCACACTTTTGAAAAGATATTTCTAAGTAAGTGTGCTCCTTATTTATCACGTTGAGAATGATGTCATTTCAGTGAAAGATGTTTTCCATTCTACATCCATGTAATTCAGCGTGTAAAAACACGTGTTCAAGAGTCTCACAGTGCTACCTGCTCAGCACGAGGGTTCTGTTGTGTAGTGCATGCAGGGCAGTGTTTCAAAAGACATGTAAAAAAGAAGTTTCTAAAAGTGCCACTTGCTTGCTTAGTTGAAACAGTGTTATTTCAGTGAAAGGATGCTCTAATCACTCAGGAATGATGTAGAGAATTCTTTAAAGACACACATAGAAAAGAAATGGGAAAAGTGTATTTTGAGGCCAACATGGGAGCATAATCCCCTCACTTGCCAGCGACCATGAGAACAAATGTCTGCACTGTGTGTCCCTCAGCAGAGAGAGGCTTCCTGCCTCTGGAGGAGGAAGCATCACGACGGTCCGAGTGGTTGCGGCGTCTAAGCGGGACCTCTCCCGCCAGAGAGGTATGTCACAAACGCCGGCCCCTGGTCACAGGCAGACTCAGCATTGTGAAGCCACGATGCCTCCGCCCCTGAAGGGCAGCGGCATGAAGGGGCAAGCGTGTAAGGGTGTTAACTAGCAAAGATACAGCAAAGCAGATGCAAACATGGCCTCAAACTTCAAAGGAATTTAAGGAGGAATCCTGAGTGAAGAAGCAACTGATGCAAGTCCTTCTCAGAACGGGAGCATCAGGCTGTCCTCTATGCTTTGTTTAGCAAGTTAAGAGAGTGTTAAAACCTACCAGTTATCATAAGATTTAAGCTGAATCTCTACTTCTTTCTTACCAGAAAGTTGAGTTTGTTTACTAAAAGGAATGAAGCTTTTCTGTATTAATTAGTTTGCTTTAATAATTATCTTCAAATGACAACTGACTGAAAACTCAGAAATGAGGTAGGTTTGTTACAGAAATCTAGTTTTTTTAAATATTTGGTTTGGGGCTTGGTATTTTTTCATTTATGACAGTAAAATGTCTGCCACAGGAGGCTGCAATTACCTCCGACCTCATACCAGTTAAGTGATGGCGGTCAGCCATCTCACCGTGAGCAGCCCGGGGCAGGTCTGCCCGCCCTGTCCGTTTGCAGAACTCAGTCTGGCAAGAAGAAACAAGTGATTCCAAAATACTAATTAAAGAACCAAAGCAAAACTGCATTCTCTGGGACTTTTCCCACCCCACCCCACTGACTCCACCACCATCTGCGTTTGGGAAATGGTTTTGGAGTCGTGTGGCTCAGGGCGGGGGGTGAGAGCGGGGCTGCAGTCCATGCCAGGCCCACCTGGGCGTCCCTGTGCGTCCCTGTGGGACTGTGGGCAAAAGAGCCACATCTCAGAGCCTCTGATCTGGGAGAGTGGGTGGTACCAACTGTAGGTGACAGTTTTGTACATTAGAGGAGATAATGTAGATGCTGCTTAGCATCTTTGTTTTCAAGCAGAGGAGGAAATGGTATCTGAGCAGGGACTTATCTCAGGTCCCCAGAGAGCGCAAATAGGCCGGGCTGAGACCCAAGTCCCAGTCACATGCCTTAACAGCTGCCGCCGGCAGGCCAGGTGAGGCCACTTCACGGGTCAAGCAAAGGGAACTGGAAGCAGTTACCTGGCCCATCTGTGGGAGCCCCCGAGCAGGTGATAGCAGCTCTTGAGGACAGGAAACTTATTTTCCTTATTCCACACGTAGACCCGCAGGGAGAGGTCGAAGGAAGCAGTGAGGACTCGGCTCTGGTCCTTGAAATGAGAAGCCACGTGAGGCGGAGCCACAGGCTCCGGAGGCGGGGCCGTGACGCAGGCAGGCGGGCCCACACTCACCACCCACAGGGATGTGACAGGCTTCTGGTGGTCCTGGAAGGCTGCCAGCTGCAGGCCCTGGATGGTGAAGAGCACCAGCTCCGACCCCGACACCAGCAGGATCACCTGAGAGCCGTGGCCCTTCATGAGGTGAGGAGGTGTCATGGTGTCTGGCAGAAGGAAACTTGCAATCTGTTGTACTTTTTCAAATAAAAACACAGATTGTCATCTCTCAATAGCAGCTGGGGGCGCGGGGTACACGCGCCTCACCTCAGAGGACGTGGTGCACTGACAACACCGACACCTTTGTGGTCACACCTGCAATCACCCCCTGAACCCTCCCGGCCATCCGCCCTCCCAATACGGGTGACGGTGCCCTACTTAAGGGGACTGTAAAGATTCAAGGCAAAAATGCATGTGGAAGTGACAGTATCTGGCACATGTACCTTCCAGGGGATAGGCCCCCTGCCCCTCCCCAGCTACGGCAGGGTGATGTAAGACATGGCGCCATGAGAAGATGACATTTATAACATCTGCCAAAAACTATGATGATGACACTGTCTTTTATACTGTATAGCATTCCTTGTTTTTTGTTTTTGTTTTTAATTAACTGGATCATTTCCTTATGGTTTACCAGCAAGGAAAAAAATTACCTTTCGAAGAATTCATGCTCATACCAAACAAGGGATTAGAATACACATCCCGTTTCCCTTTTCTCCCTGGCTGCTAAGAAGCTCAAAGTAAAGTTTATGGTCAAATGATGACATGAAAACAAATGAATATATACAAAAGAAAAAATTCTAAGGGCCACACGGCAGGCCAGTCACAGTGACATCCAGTTTGGGAGAGAGAGGAGGCAGAAAAAAAGACAGCTATGGGTCTTATTTTCCTGCTGGCTGGGGAGCTCCCTGGGGAAGAAATGGTTGTGGCTTTTACTCATCTCTGTGCACACTTAGCACCAAGAAGAGTGTGTCTGCCACAGCTGTGACAAGACAGTGAGGAGGGGCGAGACTACGTAGTCAGTGGTTCGTGTCTGGATCCCAGGGCCACACAGAAGGCCCGGACTGCGCCAAGCGCTCAACCACTCAGCCAGTACAATCACAAACAACAGGACATTTGTTGGGCCGCTATGTTCACTGAGAGGGAAGAAAAGCGCCCCAAAGGAAACACGAGGAATCTGTGCTTGAGGCACCACAGTGCAACAGTGACAGTCCTGGCACGGGGACCCTTACCCACAACGTCCACTCCTTCCTGGGACTGCTTGGCCCCCAGCTCGTAGGTGGTGATGGCCAGCTGCCCGCTATCATTGTTTCTGTGCATCACCATCAGCCTGGCTGCCTCATCAGGGGCCCAGCAGGCTCTGGAAGTCAGCCAGATGGGGAGAGTGGTGGAGACAGGAGGTTCATCCTCTACCAGACAGAGTAGGGAGCGAGTGTAGAACACCTGGGGGAACACCGCCATGTGGTCCATGCTGCTGAGAAGCACCCAGGAGGGCCGCAGACCCACACCCAGTGACCTCACTGTGTCTTACAGGGTTGCCGGTGCCCCTGTGCGCCCTGCTCTCCCGACTGCTCGGACTAGCCGGTCGGGCCCTGCTGGAAACATCTTGCACACCAGTCCTGGGTTGGTCGGTGTGATAGGACAACCAAATCAATGGCTCTTGTATTTTTTAAGGGCTCTTGTGGTTTTGAGCAGTGTACGCCACTGGCATGCTTTTGCCTTCAACGTCTTGCTCTG